GTAGGTAGGAAACCACATCTTAAGCTGTGTCTAAAATGAAGGAATTAACTTGAAACATTGACCTTGACCTCTAAAAATTGTTTACCATAGTTTTAAAATGTGCTATTCCAGTTTCCCAACACAGAATGCCTTTGTCTGATACTAATTCACCAATTTGCAATGCAAATTGCGTAAACGAAAGTAAGGCTTAGTTACGTTGAATAATAAAAGCATGCCAAACTCATTATTTCTGGTACAGACTACATTAAAACACAGTAGCATCAGGTGAACAGCCGCAATATAATACTGGAAAAGAATATTTTAGAATATACAGGGAAGATTACGCGAAAAAACTTATTATTAATGTACTTATGAAAAAAAATAAAGTATGATCTTTTGCTCAGAAATGCAATGAAACATAGCATGTTCTAAAAAAGTACTTGACGTTTCATAACTATGTTAATTCCGTTTGCATAAATTCTTGATCTTTACCTTCCCATGTACGCCTATTCTCATTGAAAACTTCTGAAATACCCTTTGAGTAGCGCCAGATTTTACATATAACTTAAATATTGTTTCCTAAAACAACATTTAAGAATGCTTTAACCTTCTTAATTTAACATTTATTTTTGTTTACGTTCTTAGATTTATTTTTAAATTTAAACTAATGCAAACATAAAACCGTTTAAATAATAAACGCCTGTTAACCTTCATCTCGATCTTTGTTAAAGCAACGCACCTAAATTTTAAAACGATAATAAATCATTTCAGAAATTTTTCCTTTTCTCTTTAAATGTAAGGGATTACAGAGTAAAAAATCTAGGCTTTGCAAGGAAAGAAAAATCGTTATTTTGACGAGGAACAGCAAAATAACATATTCTAAATAAAAATAAGGTTTCGTTGAATTTGAATATCTTAACTAATGATAAATATATGAAATTCTACCGTTAAATTTCTGTAAGCTGCTTAACTAAAATGCTACTTAAATTTATTTATATAAAATACATCATAAAGTAAAATATTTATAATTTGGCACACTGTATCTTTACATTTCTTCGGTCTCGTGCAACTAAACCAAGAAAACTGATGTGCATTTAAAGTAAATTTTACTTTTTCTGACAAAACATGCCTCCAATAAGATTCGTGACATTCCTTCACTTACTCCACTTCACTACTAGCAGAACTAAGGGTTTAATACCAGATGGTACGGGGGGTGGACTCTAAACAAGATGAATATATTATAAATAGAAACCATTGTTAATAAAACTATACAAAAATTTAACTAAGCTTTATTTAGAGAGAAGGATAATGCTATTTCGCAGAAGTTAAAGGGAAATGGATGCGCAATAAGGAAGGTTTGTCTCAAGTCTTTTCTACGGAGGCACAATACAGAAAGAATATTTTGTTTACAAGACTTTCAAACTATTCCATGTAATTATTCTTTCTTAGACGATTTTACTCTTGCTTTTATTAAACATTTCTTTTATCATTTCAGATCTCGCTAATGTTCAATAATACATTCGTGAGCAGTTTGAGAAGCATTTTTATGAAACTATGCATAAGTACGTTAATGGGAATCACCGAAGGTAAGTTACAACCACGGTGCATAGCAGTAATTAATAGACTAACAGCATATGCATGGCCTTTGGTTCAATCACGTTTTTAGCAGGGAAAGGAAGAAAGAAAAGTTTTTTTTTTTTTTTTTTTTTTTTTTTTTTTTTTACAGCTCGAAATAGCAAAATCTTCTCCGACAAGGTTTTCAGTATTTGTATATTTCTTCAGAAATAAGCGAATCATAGACTGCCTACAATTGTGAGGTTTAACCCTCTCAGCGTTACGGCCGGAAAATTCCGTACAGAAGGTTGCCTTCCACATTCATTATACATGAAAATTTCTGCTAGCTTTTAATGTATTTGATTTCAGTTTGGATGTATATTGGAAGAAAAGGAATCAAGGTGCAAAATGAAAGAGTCATTTTTTAAATTAAAATCAAGAAAATATCACTTATTCATGACATTTTGAGGAACTTTGAAATTTCAGGACTAAACCCTTAACGGTTCAAAAATCTGTGGCTTCCTTACCTGTTCGGATACAAATTACATTTGTTATTGTGACAAACCTATTTAAATAGTTTGTTTATTGCTCTAATTAACTAAATAACTTTAATTTTTGAAGCAAAAATATTTTTTGTTTTATTTCTTCTTCGTAGTTAACAAATATACAGGTTATAATGAAGATTACATATAAAGTAAACACATTTTCAATAGTTCCGCGTAAATAGTAATTAGTAATTATTAATGTACACCTATAATGTATTCCTAAATGCATATAAGTTTTAGTACGTCTTTCTACTTAATTCCATCTTTGTACGCATAGTAATTCTTTATAACATATTTCAGAATTATATAATATTTCATTACACAAATAAATATAATTTTATAGCTATAAAATGTACTATAAAAATTTCGTATGCATAAATGCTTAATAATGCAAGAATGGTTGCATAATGTTATTTATTGTATGCCTCTTGGTTTCAATTTCGTATATCTTGCTGTTTATAGCCATAATTCCATACGTTACTGGATTCTGGGGAAACAGAAGAAAATGCAGATTTCCGCAGATTCACTTTCCTGTCTAGCCGAATATAATAATATTCAAACTTAACATACTTTAAGTTTGAATATTGCCCTTCCCCCTTCTCCAAAAAATAAACTTGAGCTCCGATTTCCCATACATTCCAACTGAGCAGCTGAATATTGATACCGAGATAACCACGCTATTGCAATGTTTGTAAATGATACCAGAAGGCTATGAATATTTTTAGCATAATTTCAGTAGTACAGAAAATGAGAAATACTTCACGCTGAAATGGTAATAAACCACTTCAAATCTTCTAAACAATTATTAATGTATTATTAGATGTAAGGGACATCGGGAGAAAAAATCACAACACTGATACTAGAAAACATAATAATTTTGAGAAGGTAAAGTATAAAAATACATAGTAAAATTATTTTCAATAAATACAGATATCTTAACTAGCAAGAAACAAATTAAGGAATATCCTTAAAATTTCATAAGCTGCTTAACTAAAATGTTGCTTAAGTTTATTTACAAACTACTCCTAATTTTGGAAGATTGTCTTTACTCATCTTTTCACCTCTTGTTAATTAAATAGCCATGAAAGCTAACGTGTAATTAAGGAAAAGCCTTATCACTAAATCACTTTTCCTAATAAAATATGCTCATAAATAAGATAAAGTTTTACACTCCTTCACTTTACTTCACTGAGGCAACATAATTAAGGAATACACTATATGAGGTAGCTTTAAAAAATAACTAACAGTTCTAAATCCCAGAAGGCATAACTATCCAAATAAAAATAAGTAATTATTAATTACATATACCATTTAAGTCCCCCCTCGAGAAATATATATATATATATATATATAATTGAAAACAAAATAAGTAAAAGTAAATTAAAAAGCCCATGACTTGCGCTAAAGCTGCAAAGTAATAATCCAATAATTTAAGCTCATCTCCATGGCTTTAAATTGAATTTGAGTAAAAATTTTTCTTATTATAAATTATATATATACATAAACTGAAAGCAATTAAAATTTTAAAAAAAAGTTGAATCGGATTTTGATTGCATTCTTCTTCCTCTTCTTTTATATGTATTTTTACGCATTTCTATTGTTTTTGAGATTTCTTCTGGTTTAAAAACACTGAGTTGATGAGTTTTTTTACATTTTTTATTGGGAGATTTTGGGATTGTACTGGTTTTAAATTTTATTTCTTTCATGTCTTTGTGGTATTAGTTCAAAATTAATGACTGTTTTGTCTGTAATTGGTTTTTCAGCAGCATTTCGCGCGGAAATTATATTGTGGTATCTTTGCTGTAAAAAAGTTATGTAACACTATATATATTGACTCAACAACATGTAAAATTCTAATAAATTAAAAATGTTAATGGCTGCGTAATTTTTTCAAACAAAACTAATATTTTATATCATTTTCCAAGATTCTATCATTTCAGCTAGTATTCTATACCCGCAATTTTTTTCAAAGTACGGGGAGAAGAAACAAAAATTTAAAAGTCGGAGATTCGACACATTTAGCTTTTCTAGTAGTTGAACATAAATACCATTTTACGCCTGTTTTTGATAATATTGGTCTGAGCACTGCGTATATGTAGCTGCTTATGATTTTATGTACGGAAGTTAACATTTATTCTGCAAGAAAAAAAATTGTTTTTGGCTAGAAGGGAGGAATATATCCAATTTTATTTACTTATATTCTTTAATCATTCGTAAACACAAAAAGTAAGGAATTGTGTTTTATGTAGATTAGAATCATCTGCTACGCACGTTATACAAAAATATTTTGTAGCTTCATTTAAAAAAGTTAAACATATTTTCATGCTTCATTTACATGTTAAGACCGTAGATATATTGTAATAATCTCCGTAGATACTACGTACACTTATTTAGGTTCAGTTTGAAAGCTAACATACTGTGCATTCTTCCTCACGTTTATCTAATCTATATTTTTCAATACCACCTGTTTAAATAGCATAATATAACAGCTGCAAATTTTATTTGAATCATCGGCACTTATAGTTTACTTCCTGTTTCCAATAACGCAAAGACTTTACGAGTGCTTGCCGTTGTAAAAATATCTTATTAAGAAAAATGCTTTGGTTCAGCAACACGAAGACTTAACTTGCCTTTCAAAAGTTTTCAGTTTAAATGAATGTTTAATTAGTATCTCTCAGATCGATTTTGAAATTTGATTTAAATGGATAATTTCACGAAATTTGTATTAATAAATCACATTAAAATATTCAACGCTTCGAATTAAAACTGCAGGCTCTAAGTTTTCAATGATATAACTATCATAATAAGCATTCTGAAGAGAACTATGAAATTAAGTTGCTCTAATAAGGCAATGTGAAAATGAGAAAAAGATATGCAGTTTAGAAACCGAAAATATCGCTTAAAAGAGAGCAAACTCCTTACCGCTATTTTCAAAAGATTTATTTACATCCTTTTTCACTCCCGCCACAGACTGACCGTTGCATAAATTCACTGGTCCACGTTACGGAGAGTTCGGAAGTAGTCCTTGTTTTTTCAGCAAACCCACGACTTGGCACATGGACTAGGAGAGCAATAACAAATTTTCATTGCTCTAGCATGGCGACGAAATTACAGCTGTTCTCGGATTGCTCGGCGCGAGTTGGCGACTGCTGCGTCAGCAACCTAATAAGCGCGAGTCGCCAGTCGGTGTCAGCTGATCGCAACCTGCGCAACCGGTTCGCTTCTGTTGCACTGAGCTATCTGACGTAATCGCGCACTTTCGCAAGTTGGGTCACTCCGAAAAAACTATCGTTTCCTTCTCTCTTCAAGTGATAACGGTCCAGTGGGAGACAAACTGACCGTAATCGGATATTGTCATCTAAGTACAGTGAAGAGTAATTATATAAAAAAAGGAATGTTTTCTACTTTTGTCATTTTGTTGTTCATAAATAGGATTTCTGAATATAACGAGGAAAGTTCATATGTGTTTATTCAAAGCTCAGGCAAAACATAGAGACTGAAAAAAATAATCAAATCTTTGTTGTTTAGACTAAAGAAAAAGATAAGGAAATAAATATAAACTTTCAATTTCGACACAATCGATACATTAAGTATAAATATGCTAGTGTATGTATGTACGAGATTAAGGACGAAAATTATAACCTAGGTACATAACATATGGCTTTATAAATGTCTTTTCTTAATCAAAATAGCAGCGTAGTTTAAGAGAGGCGAATGGGAAAATCAGTACTGAGAACTGCGTGTAAATGCCACTGAAACTTCTAGTTTTACATTCATAACCTAAAATTTCGTTACAACTTTATGTAATTAGCTTCATCTACACGTTTATTTTTCGGTGTATTTACAGTAAAATCTTTTATAGTCTAGAAGTGCTAAAATGTCTGCAGTCTACTTCTAAAAGTACAATGAAAAGTATATAATGGTGGCTGTTACATTGGTGAGAAATGCATTGTTGAAACTTTAAAAATAGATGAATGATGTTTCCCGCGGTATTTTGAAATTGCCATTTTGTCAGGACAGTTTCAAAGCACCTTCCTTCAGGATTTGAACGCAGAGGATGGTTTTCCGTATTCTGATTTGGTTTGGTTTGATTTGGTTTGCTTGATTAATTGGCAGGGCTATTCCGTATTCTGATTCAGGAACCCTAAATTTTCGCTTCCTCATCTCTTTTTAAAGTATTTATTCGTATTTTGCAATTGCAGTGTTATTAAGTTCACAATGAAAAATTTTCTGTAATTAGATATGCATCTGAAATCATACTTGATCAAATAAGTAATTTTTTAATTTTCACCGCTGAATAAGTTAGTGAATTAACTCATTAATATTAAAATGTGGTCTCCACAGCAGCATTATTCATTTGGTAACATGCAAATGTCAATACTGCCGCCACAATTATTACACTATGTACTTTTAATGTTTCAATGTACTGTCGTAATTTTTTTAAGTGCATTGCGCGTACCGCTGTTTATGAAATAGCTGCGAACATTTCGCCTACGTATCTTTCAGTGCTTTTATAGCTCATGAACTTAAGGGGTATGAAATAAATCTGCAGATTATTGGCATAATTCAGCCAATGGAGCTAGAACGCTTGTTTAGTTACGAATATATATATATATTATCTAGGATTCATAGATTTTGTATCATTTCATAGACACCGCTAATGACTTTTTTAAACTACTTTTTTTTTTTTAGGTATCTTAATTTTCCCTACAAACTTTTAAAACATAGCAAAAAAAAAAAAAAAAAAAAAAAAAAAAAAGATGAATTTTCTTGCTTTCTTCTACAAAAATACTAATCGCTTTACAAATGGCTCCACAACTATAATGGGATGGGCGATAATTTGTCACTACCTGATTGGGCGATTGCCTGTCTCCCCAGGTGCACTTTAAATGGGGGAAAAATACAAAAATATATTTTCATTCTTTACCACTACTACGTGGCTAGCAGTCAGGAGAGAGGTCATTGCTGATTTTTCATATTCATTCGAAAATACCTAATCGCTTTTAAAACTACATATCTTAATTATTTTCCTACATAAGAACTCTTGAAGCATGTCTTTCTCTGTGGGGCCGTATTTAGCATATTTGGTCAACCAATGTACGTTTTCTAGCCGCAGAATCATCTGCGAGCGATCGATATGCACCTCATATTATGATGGAAGAAATGCCTGGAGAGTCCCACTCTTAGGTTGAAAAATAGATAGATACGCCCCTTCAGTCCTGAATATATTCAATTACTATTTTTTTAAAGGAAATTACCGGACTTTTATAATTCGTAATATATTCAGTCTGTTTTGCAATTTTTATTTCACTTGACAACGATCGCTTGATTCCATGAGAAGCCTGAAGCGCATATTGTTTCAGACAAGGCCAGATTCCTGTTTGGTCTTGCATGAACTAATAGCACTTCTTTTTTATCCAAAAGTCTCCTGGCACACTGACCGAAAGAATGAGAAAAGAAATTTTGATCCCTTACCACTATCCCATCAAGCGTGAAAATCAAATACGAATAAAGACCTTAAGCCAGTTTTTCATTCTGAAACCGATACTTTTCACAGTATGCACTAGAAGCGATTATGCACAGCTGCCGAAATGATAGTGAAGTTAAAAAAATAGTTTTGTTTTATGACATTTACTGTTTTTACCGCTAATGATTAGCAACAGCCTGCGTCAAATTGAAGGACTTAATTTTCAGGGATTCTGTGTACCCATTCAGTGATTCTATGTTCATTTTTAAAAAATATTATGTCCATAAATTTATATAAACTAACAGGTTCTTTCGGATATGATACTTTTGTATAAATGCGACTTCCTTGCATTTTATGCATACGTCTTATTTTGCGTGCATTTTATCTTGCACGCGTGTTAAATAATTTTGTCTTTTGTCGTGCATCAATAAATTTGGTAATGCATAAAAACTAAACAGCCATTGAAAAAATTACTTACACAACAAATTTTGATATGAATGTATATTATGAAAGGCATTTAGCTGAAGTACTTCCGTTAATTACACTGAGTCACAAAATCTTACTTTTCCTTTGTCACATAAATCAAAATAGGTGAACGTGACAGTTTTCCTTTTCTTTTTCATCACCCATTTTTGCCCACTGAATTCAAGTACGTATACGAAGCTTTCCTATCGTGCAAGGAATTTTGTTACACGTTACACATAGTTAAATTTTATACGAGTATACATCAGTTTTATATTCATATCAAAGAAATAAATTATCTGAAAGATGAAAGTATATTAATTGTTGCATTATTTTAATTTAATTTTATTGCGTGTTCCGCAATTAGGCACTATATGGAAGAGAAGGAATGTCTCGTGGAGGACTTTTTAAGGGAAACTGACTCGTATCCACGTTACATATGGGGTAAACTTTAAGATTAGAAGGAAATAAATATAAGTAAAAAAGTAAAAGCTGAAATTTATAGGCATATTGCATCTCATGACTTTCTTTTCAGAAGACCACCCTTTTTTTTTTTTTTTTTTTTTTTTTTATTATTATTATTATTTTTATTTCAGCACTCTACCAAGTCTTCCCCAATATATTCTTACAAACCTTCTTGAAAAACTATCCTGATCGAGTAATAATTTCCTAATTTTCGGTCGCTCTCCAAATGCTTTATTTAACTATCATTTATGTTAACAAATTTGTTTCTCAGCATGGGAATCCTAACCCGTTTGTATCAATTGTTTTAAGAATGTTCTTTATAAATGTCCATAAATAAATAATGTCCTTTATAAATGTCAAGGTACTTACGTATATATTCAGACCAATGTTTTCTGTGCAATGGTTTTCTATTGTCTCTCATTTCGAAGGAAAATTATAGTATTTTAGGTTATTCAGTTGTGGTTCACTTAGTAAAACAAGTTATTTAACCACCGCAAATATTCAGTCTAGGTTTTTCTTTGTGCTTTTCTTGTAGAAAAATTTCTAAATTTTTGTACATTTCCTTCACATTGGCAGCCTTTCTGACAAGGAAAAAATGTCTCAACCTTGAACTCTCAATTTTTCTGAAAAAATTATATATGAATTCGCTCATCTAAAACTGCAAAACAATGTAAAAATTAACTGTTAATTCCATTAATATATTTATTTCCACTGGAGGGCATTTAGCTGACTTAGGCTTGGCTACTACTAAGACCGAAAGTGGTGGGGCCACTTTAATTGTGAAAACATTAACAGAAGGAAAAAAACATTAATAGGTGGAAAAATTTAATAGGTGAGCCACCTTTACCTCCTATGAAGGGACAGACAATTACAGCACTGCCTTCTCCGGGATTCGAGCCCGGCCCTTCGGTACCAGTAGGCTCCCCTCACCACTATACCGTTTGGGCGGCATATTCTATAAATATGCAGTTAAAAACTGTAAAATGTAACGAGATTTGGCAATACAGCGTTATTCGATGACACCAAATTTTCAAAATGCAATTTTGAAAATATGGAATGTCGCCAAGCTGATCGATTCCTGGAATGAAAATATAAAATGATAAATAAAGGGACGAAAGTGAAAAATACACATTTGGACTGTCAATAAATTCTTAAACAAAAACCCACTAGTGGCCAAGCGGTAAAACTGCTGAGACTTAATCGTTTGACCTGGATTTCAGATTTTGGAAAACAATCTGTTTGCAAAGGAGTTTTCGTGTTTTTTCCCAGTGTGCAACGTGGATACGAGTCAATTTCCATTAAATTCCCCATTTTATTTTATTAATTTATTTTTTTCGATCACCACACTTTCGAAGTTCTTTCTTTCAATAATAAAAGTGTTGCGTCTGTCTAAATATATATTGAATACATTTCATTTTTTTCGTCTTACAGGAATCTTTGGAGGAAAAAAATCTGTGAATTCAGTGTCAAATATGTAGCCTGATTTATTTTCATAGTCAGCCTCTTAAGCTGATGAAACCAATGATTTATTTTATATCTTCGTCACCATAATTCCCCTTGGACTTTCATATTGTTTTGAAATCTGAGAAATCAGGTTTTTCAATTTCACATCCTCTGTTAATTTTAAATGCCTGGTTGCATAATCTTGAAATAACATCCAGACCAAACTGTATATATTTATGCCTCCAAATAAATAAAAAGGTTCGGTAGTTTATAAAGTCATAGTTTATTCAAATAAATGCATAGTTCCAACGTCTTTCTA